ACTATTTCCAGCTTGGAATAAAATCAATAATTTTATTATGCAAAAATACATAAAATAATTGATTTATAGGCTGTTAATAATAAGGCATTGAATAATACAAACTATTTTGAGCTAAAAAAAAGTTAATAGAATGTATCACAAATTGAAAACTGTTTGTATATTCTACTACTATTATTCTTATGTTCATGTTCGAACTTTTGATTTTGCTTTTATATTTCTTTTGATTATTCTTGTTTTTGCTCTGCAATAGATGAAAGCGAAAAAGCAAAAGATTATAAATAAAAAAAATAATAATTAAGAATTGGGCCTGTTTAACTGCATAACGTATAAGCGCGAAATTATACTTACTCATGCGTTAATTAATTGACTTGCGCGTTTTTTTCGGATATGTCCATATGCATTATTTCGAAATAATCCATATGTACATGTATTGTATAATGTTGCATATGTAATCGAATTATACCGATCAAATGATATACACTTCTCCACTTATAGACTTATAGAAGTGCACTCATAGAAGATGGTCGACTGTATATCATTTATTGCAGTAATAACAATAGGTTGTGCATAAATTCAAGACGCCCGTGGGCTAATTTAGGATTATACAAGCTATTTTTGAAGAACCCGACTTTCAAAATAACGCCTACGATAAATATGATACCTAATCTTTTTTTTTTGTCGGTTTGCCCACATTTTTTTATGCATTATTAAATATTCAAATTTCAGCCAGGCTGCAAAGCTTCTATAGATTTCTAAAAGTTTCTATTTTTATAATTTTCTGATCCATGTTTTGCCATATGGATGTCTAAATTTTAGGTAGTGCACTCACTATAATTTAATCAATCATAAAATAATATGTAACTTGACATAAAAACGGGTTATTTTCAAAGTAAAAAAAAAAACAATACTTGCGCGTAAAATTACGGTTAATGATTAGGTTAAAACAATGTATAGCGTATAATAATAAAATTCATAACGATAAGGAATATTTTAGTGTTACAACCTAAAAAATTTATAAAATCAAGGCTACCTAGTTTTGGATTTTTATGTTACACCAAGATCTTGAAATTCGATTGGCCAAAATTACAGGGGTGGAACAAATTTTTGTGGAGCGCCTGTAAAGTGTAAATTTAGGTTTTCACTGTAGCAAACTTACTTCATTGTGTATTACATCATGTTTCGATAAAATGCCCGATATAAGTATTTGTATTACTGAAATTACTAGAACACTAATCAAACCAATCATCAATGCCGATTACATCATAATTCTTTAAGGGCTAAGTGGGCTAAGCCATTGAAAATTTAAATATTCACTTTCAGGTTTTTCACTTTGCAGCGCTAGAATTTGAACATAACTTGATTGAAATTGATTAGTAATCAATTTGTTAATTCACGTGACATACATAAAATATTACAAATGCTTTTAGACGATGTTCTTATTTTGGAAAATGTGACTAAAACTTAAATTAGGATTAGATCTAGAGATAGACAAAATGCGTATTTTAAGTGATGCACATTATGGGGATGATGCGCATGTTGACGTTAACTTATTATGGATCAGGATTACTTTCAGATTTTCATTTGTTGTACGAGTATAAGCGTTTAAGTGTACATCAGCTCAGACATTATTATTGCACGCATACATGGAATGATGCGCCTGGTAGCCATCTCTAGTTAGAACTAGTTTGAAATTTGAAACTAGGTGAATATTATAGGTAAAATTAATTTCCTGACATTTTTATTAGTGTCCCAATATAGGTTTAGACTCTTGTTTTTGGTATAATTTGATTGGCTAGCCGATCTAGATCATCCAAATAAGAAAGTGAAAAAAAAAAAAAAAAAGGGATCAATAATATTGGTTCGTCTAGATTATTTGATAATCACGATATTCTCAAATCATGGGGTTACTGTTGTATGGGAGAGCTGCGTTAATGTAACGTTCAATTAGTTCCAATAATTGGGATAGTTGATATTTTAATAATAATTAGTAGTCGTAAAATATCTTGTACGTATATGAAATTATTTTTAATCAGGTTTTCAAGCCAATTTCTTAAAAATGAAAAGATCATAATTACGCGAATAATTGAAAATCCCATTTAACTATGATGTAAATGATATAAATAATAAATAATAACAGATAATAAAGCTCTAAATTGAGTAAGACCGAATAAAAGACAAACTTATTTAATAATGAATGTATAACTAAAACAATCAATCCTTCTATAAAAAGAATTGAGTCTTCACAAAACTCCGAACAAATATTTCTCGATAACCCCCTATTCGATATGCAGAACTAAATGCAGAATAAAATGTTTCATAAGTTTAGTTTGGTGGCTGTTAACATATATTTGTTTAAAGTTTAGAAGTATCACAAACTAAATTGCTTTAGAAATAGACATTGTACCCGCATAGAGTTTTTATAGAATATATAGAATTTACAAATACTTTAATAATACCTAAAAATTATATTTTAAGAATATCTAGTAATATATAGTACAAATAATTACTAGGTGTTATATGTATTTTAATATATATTTACTGGTAAATATATTTAAAAATATATTTTAATATATTTACAGTACTGGTAAATATATTTAAAAATATATTTTAATATATTTACAGTACTGGTAAATATATTTAAAAATATATTTTACCTAGTAATAAGTTATTATGGCTGCTTTGCATCCAATAACTATATATCAACAAACTAATCGGAGGAAACAATCTCGCGTTTTTAAATAATATTTAGACACTTCCTTGCGGTGTAACTAAAAATTGAAAATTTCATTTTGGCGTAACGATAGCCAATTGTCTACTGGAACCTCCAATAGGAATTACAAGAGCTAGAAAGTCTTTGGGTTTAACTGGTTGGAATTGGAATTATAATAGTTTCCAGTGGTTAAATGACATCAGTCGTTCTTTTCAAGATTCTTCATTCACTGGATGGAAACTCTAAATAACCTTCGGCAATTCGCATGCACCAATATTGTCTGCACGTGACTTCGAATATAGGTTGTTAATAAAATTATATAATAGATTTCTTTTTAATTTAACAATACTTAAGTTAAAATAAGCTATATATCATGTTAGCAATCAATTACCACATATTAATTTAGTTAATTGTTGATATATTTTTTTTAAATAAACTGTTAAATATTTTATCATTATTACATTATAAAGGACTTTTCAATAGTGCATTTAAAAATCTATATCAAATTTTGATTCGTATTAACGTAGCCAGTCCATGTTCACATTAACGATTGTTTATATAGTCTGTATTTTGGCAGTGACAACAGTGAACGTAGCTGATGAGTGTAAATAAATACTTAAATAAATATTCAAATTCCGAATCTTTATTATTATGTTATTAATATAGTTTTGTTTACTTTTATTGAAGTTTATATGATTTTTGTATCAAATATTTTACTAAGAAAAAAGAATCTAAAGTAGAAATATATCCTGTGCGAGATAAACCCAACATAAATTTCGAAAACCTTCAATGAGATTTTATTCCAATTTTTAGTGATAAATTATATCAAATTCATTAATAAATTTACAATAGCATACAGTGTAATAGTATTATGAGCGAAATTACTTTCAAATCAATATCTAAAAGATTTTACCAGATGAAGATAATTTTGCCTTGGCAAAATCTTTCGGTTTAGTCCGTATCACTAATTTAGATAGTGCAACTATACAAAGATTTGACTGATATTGACATAACTAGGTTAAGACAAATTCAGCAATATTGCCAAATTATGATATACATTGTGATAGTATCGCATTGTAGTATTGTATCTATGAATTGATCAATTGATAAATAAAATAAAAATCTAGGTGACCAAAATACAAGGTGCGCATCTCCAAATTATGGGGAACGTGGGTACCCGGACCAATCAAATCTAAACCTAATGCTAAATTTAACTAAATAATGGATAATCTATTGGGGTCCAGGCTTTTAAACTTCTCCAAATTAACAAATTAAGCAGTCGGGAATTTTAAGGTTTTCATAGTGGATTATAAATTTAAGTGCAGACCAGTTACGGTTCATATTAAAAACCGGTTTGACATAATTTTTTATATTGTAGTATAAACTAAGTTTATGTAATGACATGTGATTATAATTTTAAAGTTATACGTATAAGTATATTAATAATATATATATACTTATTATAATGCCTTGACCTTCAAGAATATACATGATATTCCTTTATATAATTAGTCATATCTCACTAATACGTATAAAATCGGCTATTTTTTAGGATAAAATTTGTGATTTATAATCACATAGAATTAAGGAGCTTTAGTTTCCTATTTATCGGAATTTTTAAATCAAAAGCACTTGCTTTATAAATCCTTTTTATACGAAGTATGATACGCGATAATAGGATCACGCTGTCAATTGATCATCACAACTTTATTTTATAGTGTAACACTAAATAAGAACGAATATGGTAATGCTCGAATCTACGTAGAAACCTTAAAAAAAAAAATAAAAATAAAAAAATATTTACTAAGAAAAAAAAAAACGTATGTTTTTCTACGAACCTCTAAGAAATCCAAGAAATATGACTAGTCATGTATCAATAATGACCAGATAAAACTAACTGTATATGCAAAATTAGTACATCAGTTTAATCTTAAATTATCATCTTTATATCAGATCTATTGTATTGTTGATATTTAATTGATTCCCAATATTAGTTTTATCGTTGGTTCCCGTAGTGGATCTGGATAAATAGTTGCCCCAAGAAACGCCCGATTTCCATTTGTATTTAAAATAAAGTAATTTGGCGTTAAATTTTCAGATTGTACCACGTGGAAATTATCCCGAATTACATAATTATATTCTGTCAGATGATCAACTTGTTTGTGGTGACAATCGAAAGAACAATAATGTTTTTTTTTTTTGTGCAATATGTCAAAAATTACGATTAATAAAGTAACGCCGTTCCTTCGAATTCTGAAAAAAAAAAATTTTTTTTTAAAAAAAAACAAAAATGAAAGGTAAAAAATCCTCAACCGCCGGTAATACTTCATCAGACGTTAAAAAACCAATCGAACGTAGTAAAAAGTTAGCATCAGCTTCATCAGAAACAAATTTAAAAAAACGTGAAGTCACAAAACCTACATCATCTTCAGGTAAAAAGCGTCCTGAATTAAAAAAATCTTTACCGAATCCTGATGACGCTAAAAAATCATTGTTCAGACCTGATGGAACTCAAAATCATGTAATGGAACATGACGTAACTCAGTTATCTGAACATGCCAAAAATCATTTAAATATTAACGCTAAGTCAGAAAATACAACAAAAAATCGAACTGCCCAAGTTAAACCTTTAGGTGGAATTGACGTTTCGTCAAGTGTCAAACCTTTAGTTAACAAAAATAAACCGACAATAGGTGAGAATATTTTAATGTCACATCAAGTCGATAACTATCTATATTAGATTTTTGATAGATGGATGATGTTGTCAGTGTATTTAGCGTTAGCGTTAGCGTTAGCTGCTAGTTAATCCAACCCCTTTAATAAAAAATCTCAACCCTTTAATATTAGAAAAATTAAACCTATTTCTCTTTTTCTTATATTGACAGGTACCAAAAAAAGACCATCTTCAATTAAGACATCGCCCACAATATCCACAAATAGTAAGGAGAAAATTTCCGCAAAATCTCCAACAAAGAGCAGGCATGACATTCCTGCAACAGATAATAAAAGCAAGCGACGTAATTCTACGACAATTTTCGAATCTCCTAAAGAATTTTCGTCCAACATTTCTAGGCATACTAGGCGTCGTAATTCTACGACAATTTTCGAATCCCCTAAATATTCGTCCAACATTTCTACCGTCGTATCTTCTCGATCAGCCGCTCACAAGCGTGCAACATTTGAACACACAAGACAACATTCATACACAACACCTAGTAGTGTAACTCCAAATTTAACTTCCATTTCTGAAATTCCAAAAGGACAAGATTTTGTCCCACCTTTCACATCTGAAATTACCAGACAACATGTATCCACTACCCCGATTGGTGCTACAAGAAGAGTTTCAAATGCTTCTTCTGTAACTTCGGAAGATAGTTTATTTCCTTTATCTCCTACTTTTTCATCTGCAACTTCTGAAGGCAGTTATTATCGTATTTCTAGGTCTTCTTCTATGGCTTCAGAGAATGGTTATAACTTTAATTCTTATTCTGATGAATTAGATGATTTTATACAAAATGATTATTTGGATAAATTTTCGTCTTTAGGTTTTACTGATGATTTTGATGATTATGGTGGTGATGATGATGATAAATTAGTATCTGATAGTAATTCTGATTTAGATGAATTTTTTTTCGGTTCGGAAATTACTTCAAGTAATCTTTATAAGCAATTTAAAGAATCAAAAAATTCTCGAAATAATTCAAATTTAGGTGTGAAAAAGTCTTTCTCTTTTAAAAACTATGACGATTCAACCAATGATTCCTTATTAAAAAATTTAGATAGTTTTAATATGAATTTTGAAGTTTCGTCTGAATATGATAAAAGTCTTGATGATTATGAGGTGCTTTCGACTTTTCGAGATTCTATAACCCCAAATCCTTATGATACTCCTTCCGTTTCTAAATTTAATGAAGAATTAAGAATTCCAACTGCCAAAATATCCTCGGATTATAGCGATAATAATTTAAAGACGATTGAAATTATAAAAGATAAAAAAGATAAAAATATGACTTATAATGATGATACAAATCATGATGCGAAACATGATGTTGACGAAGATGATGAATTTAAAGTTGTGAATAATTCTTTATTTAAAAAACCTAGAAAAAGTTTTGGTTCACGAGAAGATTTTGATAAAAACCTTGAAGAAATTTTGAACGAAATTCTTTATAATACTGATATAAAAGAAAAATCTTCGGATTCTTCTGTGAGTGTTGAAACGTCTGCAAAGAAAGAAATTCTCGCTGATGATAAAAAACAAAAATCACCGGGTTCTTTTGTGAAATTTGAAGTATCTTCAGAGAAAGAAATTCTCTCTGATGATAAAAAACAAAAATCGCCAGATTCTTTTGTGAATTTTGAAGTATCTACAAAGAAAGCTATTCATGATAAATCAGATGAATCTTCGGCTTTGGTGGTAGAAAGTAGTAAACCATGTGAGGTAACTACTAATAATCCAAATTCAAGTGATGACGACGAAGACATTAATTATAGTGATATTGATGATGAGATTGAAAAGTTGATGAAAGAAATCGAACAAGAAGAATTAGAAATTAAGATGATGGAGAGTTTGGAAAATGACGCGTCAACTGTAGAAAAAATTGAACAAAGTACTACTACATCATCTCTAGAAAATGGCAATCTTAAAGTTGAAAATCAAGTTGAAATAAAAGATGAATCTGGTGAATGTGAAAAAAGTTTCGACGTTACGGAAAAATTATCGAAAGAAATTGACCAAAATGAATTCAAGAATGAAACTTTACAAGATGAGGAAACTTTACAAGACGAGGATTTTAAAACATATTCTGAACTTCAATATCCTATAGGGTCATCTGAAGATAACATAATGCAGGAAAATTATGCAGATACCAATAAGACATTAGATGTTGTATTAGAAGATCCTTTAAAATTCTTAAAAAATAATGATATGAAAATTGAAGCATTCGAAGTTGTTAACGAAAATGTGAATATAGTAGAGCCGCACAATATTACTTCAGAATATATGGAACCTCACGATAGACAATATGATTTTGACCTACAAAATAAAATGCAAACTTCTCAATTATTAGACTGTCACGTTGAACAAGATAAACCAACTGATGAAATAATCGATACAAATAAAAATATAATGGAATCTCAGGAAAATCAGCTTGAGAAACATGAGTTGTATAAAGAAGTAGTTGAAGATACTAATGAAGTTATTGAAAATATTGAATCACGTGAAGAATGCGGTCATCAACAAATTGCAAGGTTGGAAGACGTGTTTACTGAACAAGAGGAACAGTCCAAATATCATGCATCAACTTTTGAGCATGATGAAGAGAATGCAAAATCAGCCGTTCAAACACCTTCAGACAGCGCTCAAGACTTCACTCAGGATAATGTTCAGGATAACATACAAGAAAGCATCCAAGATAACATACAAGATAACATTCAAGGTAACGTGCAAATTGAAATTCAAGATAGCACTCAAGATAATATTCAAGATAACGTCGAAGACAACATTCAAAATAACATTGAAAATAACGTGCAAAATGAAATTCAAGAAATGCAAAGTAATGTCCAAAATAATATGCAAGATGGAACGATCGTTATATTATCTAAAGACACAGATAGTCAATATGAACAAAAGGTTCAACCAGATGATACCGTAGAACAATTTAAGCCAGATGATACCATAGAACAATTTAAGCCAGATGATATCGAGGAACAATTTAAGCCAGATGATATTGAGGAACAAGTTAAGCTAGATGACGCTGCTGAACTAGTTAAGCTAGATGACATCGCTGAACAAGTCAAGTCAGATGATACTGCTGAGCAAGTCAAGTCAGATGACATCGCTGAACAAGTTAAGTCAGATGATACTACCGAACAAGTTAAGCTAGATGACACTGCTGAACTAATTAAGCTAGATGGCATCGCTGAACAAGTCAAATCAGATGACACTGCTGAACAAGTTAAGTTGGATGACACTGCTGAGCAAGTCAAATCAGATGACATTGCAGAACAAGTCAAGTCAGATGACACTGCCGAACAAGATGACATTGCTGAACTAGTTAAGCTAGATGTCATCGCTGAACAAGTCAAGCTAGATGATACTGCTGAGCAAGTCAAGTCAGATGACACTGCTGAACATGTCAAATCAAATGACATCGTAGAACATGTCGAGTCAGATGAATATGTCATATCAAATGACATCGTAGAACATGTCAAGTCAGATGACATCGAAGAACATGTAAAGTCAGATGATATCGTAGAATATGTCAAGTCAGATGATATTGCAGAACATGTCAAGTCAGATGACACTGCTGAACATGTCGAGTCAGATGACGTCGCAGAACATATCAAGTCAGATGATACTGCTGAACATGTCGAGTCAGATGACGTCGCAGAACATGTCAAGTCAGATGATACTGCTGAACATGTCGAGTCAGATAACATTGCTAAGCAAGTTAAAATAGATGACGCTGAAATAGTTAATCTAGATGATATCGCTGAACAAGTTAAGCTAGATGATATCGCTGAACAAGTCGAGTCAGATGACATTTCAAAACAAGTCAAGTCAGATGACACTGATGAACAAATCGAGTCAGATGACATCACGGAACAAGTCAAGTCAGATGACATCGCAGAACAAATTAAGCTAAATGACATCGCAGAACAGGTCAATCCAGACGTTGTGGATATTAAAGAATCAATAGAAGAAGCAATAATGGAGTTTGTAGAGAGCTTAGAGCATGATAATAAAGTACCTTCTATAATGTCGCTAGAAAATCCAAAGCAAGATGAGCCATCATCTACACTTTACAATTATATAAACCATAATGAACAAAGCGAATCTCTTGTTCATACATCGCATGATACTGAAGACTTTTCTATTTCGTCGACATCAAGAAATGTTGATACAAATTTATTTAATCAAGAAATAATTACTTCACCTATTATATCAACGGTTCAAAATGAACTCATTGAACATGATATGTCAATTGTTAATAATTCTGAAGATAATAAAGAGAATAAAATTCATAAAGAATGTGTTATAGATACTGAACAAACAACGATGCAGGTTGATTTAGATGTTACAATTTCCGAAAAGATAAAAGAATCTGAGGATAATGAAATACCTCAATTACAAATTTCATCATCAAATAATCCTAAAAAATGTAAAGGCAAGGCACCAGTTAGACCTTTTAATAAAAAGAAACTTGATGATGATGAAAAGCATGGCGAAATTGTACAACAAAGTGCTTTAACATTAGACATTGTAGATAAAAAAAATTCGTTTAATAATTCACCTTTAATTAATCATCAAATTGATCAGAATAAATTAAATATAATACAAAAACCTATAATTGCTCAACATGATTGTTCGAGGTTGGTGGATTTAAAAGCTACTCAACCTGATGCATTACCTGTAGGAATTGCATCTTTACCATTAGTTAATCAATCAATAGCTTATTTAATATATTATCGAAGGCTCGTTGAATGTTTTATTCTTACTCTTATATTTGATTTCACCAGGCCATTCTTAAATCCTATTAATTTTTGGCTTGAGTATTGTTGCTTCCCCGTATTGGCTTTTTGGTTATTTCAGTTGGAGGCAGGATTAAATATATTATCATGGGGTCTCTCTCGAAAATATCAACGAAATGTTATTGCACATTGGGAACAATTGTTGTCTACAAATATTGGTAAGTAAACATTTTTTTAAAATATAATTTATTAGTGATTTTGTTTTTGATTCTAATTTATTATTATTGTAAATAGTAAATCAATTGTCAACGGGTATGGAATCCTTGAATAAACCTTTGGATCTATCTGATCAGCGAGAACGTAATTTTAATTTAGATAGAGCGGAGTTTCTCCTATTTCTTTCTTCCCTTTTATATTGTCGGGACGATAATATGGTTCACAATGCACATGAAACACTCACTAAATTAAATTCAAAGAAAAAAAAGCCAACTGATAGAGATTTACGAACAATATTAAAACTTCTTCATGATAGTGAAAACTCAATTAGAGCACAAATAAAACAGTTTGATCTTAATTTTACCTCTATATCGGAATTGAATCATCTTGGTGGTTGCTATGCTGGCATGTTTTGGTCTGAGGTAATGTATAATATCGATTTATTGAAATTACTTGCTTGTTTAAATTTTCAATAATTTATATTAATAAAATTAACGAAACTTTTTATAATTTCACAGAAAGATAACTTTATTGTTGTGGCATTTCAAGGAACAACTACAACTAGTTTTGCTCAAATGTTAACAGACATGACATTCCAACGTATGGATGCAAGGCCATATCTTTTTGGTAAAGTTCATGAAGGCTATTATAAATCATTATTTGAAACCAATAATTTAAATCATTGTGCTGCATTAAGAATGGCTGATACAATTCGAATTAAAGTAGCAGAACTTAATCAAAAGAACAATAATCCAGTAAATTTATGGATAACAGGACATTCTATAGGTGCAGCATTTGCAACATTATTTTATACTTGGTTAATGAAGACACCTACAATGTTAAATGAAAACTGTATTTTACGTGATGCTTTCACTTTTGCAAGTCCCCCTTGTGTTGATAATGAATTTTCAACAGAATTTTCTTCTTTAATTAATAATCCTGAAAATAATGGTAAAACTTTATGGAGAATTATTACCGATGATGATTTAATTCCTAAAATGCCTCCAACTTTTGATAATCGAAATATTAAACGTTTTACAAGAAGAGTTGAAGTTTTAAATAATTCTCATATTGGAAATGAAGTTCGATTTTTTCATGATGGTAGAAAACCTATATCAAAACAACATCATTTATTCGGTAATAATAAATTATTATTAGGTCAAGGATTAAAATTTAATCAGTTAAAAAATTTATTGGAAAACGGCGAATCATCAAATTTACAAAAACTTATTACGAGACCATTAAGAAAGTTGGATTTGATCGAAAAGTCTATTCCTAATTGTTTCTTGAATCATAAATCTTATAGATATTTTGAGGTTTTGGAAAAATCGAGACGATATTTCGAGTTAGATAATCAGTGAAATTTTGCATTATTGGATATTATGAACAATGTGATATGTGGCTTCGTTTTCGTTTTTGTCTTTTATTTATTTAGTATTAGTATGTTTTTAACATTGTATATATATTGTATGTAATTTTTTAAATTGTCGCTAAGTGGGATACGTATCTTATAAATAAACAATTGTAAATAAATACACTTGTTATTTCAGAAATATTAAATTTAAATTTAATCGATTTTGTTGGTCAGTATGAATATGAAGGCAGTATTAAAATTAGGTGCGTTTACTAATTAATAAAAATTTATGTCGTAACTAAAGTTACTATCTATCTGAAGTTGCAACTTTAGATATATAAAGTTGCATGAAGATCTAAATTTCAGGGGCTTAATTTTAGTCAGATCAACTTTATAAATAGATGGTAACTTTAGATACGACATTTATACTAAAAAAAAATAAATTAATTACACAAAGAAATTAGTATAATTAGATACATTCTAAATTGGCCAATCAGATCTTATGTAGTGGGATGGGGTAGGCCTCATAGGGGTTTACTTATTTCTCACTGTGATACAAATCATAAATATTTTATTTACCGTAAATTTGCTTTAACTTTAAAGTCAGAATGAATAGATACTATACTAAAATATTGCAAGGAATTTTTTTTGTTAGAACACAAGAGGAGGTTTTTTAGACAAAATTTTGAATTATTAACGATTTTTTGAAAAATATCACCAAATTCCTGATTTTACGATCTACATCCAAAAATTTCCTTTTTTGGTTTGTATCACGGTGGGAAATAAGGGCACGCGTAATGCCGTAATGTCGTAATGCCGCAATAACAAATATTGTAATGCGATTAGTAATGCCTGACGAAACAATCTTATTTTCATGGTGGAACAGGTGAGACTGTCGATGTTACATGACTGACCTTCACCTGGTGTGCAACATATAAAAAAACTATTTTACAATACCAGATCATTCTGCTATATACAGTCAACTCTCTTTATAACAAACTTCTCTATACCGAATTCTGGATATAATGAACTAAAAGTTTTTGAATTTCATATTAGTTCAGTATAAAAAGAGTTAAGGCTTCTTAAGAAAACATAATTTTATATAGCGAACTTATTTTTATATCCAGAACTAACAGTTCGTTATAGAGAGTTGACTGTAGTTAGTATACCAATGGTAGAATTAATTATGGCATAGCATCTTATTGCTGTAAATATTATCTGCCGCAATTACTCTAATCCAGAAACTGATGAATATGTTGATGTTTGTCATGTTTATAAAGGGAACTTAAATATAGAAGTGTACACATTATAATAAATATGACAAGATGAAGTAAGATGTCTATAATGTGGAGCAATGGAGATGGCAGTAAGGATACTAATAATTGTATGAAAGTATTTCAACTTAGAGCCTTCGCATGTAATAATGGATTCCATTTAATGAACTAGATATGTTAAAAGAAGAGCTTGACTCTTTATTTTCTCTAACTTTGTTTGATGATTGCAAAAGCTGATGGTAATGAGTTTAATTATGTAAGAGCATATGAACTATCTAATAATTATACCTTAAATGAAAAATAGAGTCATCAACATACTTCATAACTGTTTATCTGCTCATATTTGTCATTAACAATTAAAAATCAAGACTTGTGAGAGTTAACTATTTATAATATATTTATATAAGTTAATTTATACATACTGTAGTAATAGACAGTCAATAGTTTTTTTAAAAATCTCTTTGTAATAGGTTTTTTTCATATTTCAGAATCTTATAGAAATGGATATGTAGGACCATCCCAAATATGGAAACCATGGTTTGACTCAGAACCATCAATTATTATACTGACTCAACCAATCAAAATTGCGAAATTTAACTATAGCAATAGCAATAAGCAAACAATAAGTATTCTGTTTTACTAAAATTTTATTTTAAATTTTATATAGAATTTATTTAATATTCACCAGTGGTGTTCTTAATAATTTTTAAAGTTAGGGGCAGTTTTAGAATAAAAAAGGAGTTTTATATAACATAATAATGTATATAAATTAGATATAAGGTTACAATTTTAGTTTTCAGGAAGTTTTCAAGATTCTAAACATTTTATTTAGGTCCCTAACTTTAATTACTTAGTATGTTTTTGAGATATAGCACTTGGTGAATTTCACCTCTAGTGAGCACTAAAATTGGCCTTTATTTTATTTATTTATTTATTTTTTTTTAAAAACTTGAAGCATTTTACAAGATCAAATATAAAAATTATTGTTATTGAAATGCTAGGGCTATCAAGGGATGATTTAGGAAATTCATTTGCAAGGATTGGAATATTGAGATCTTTATAATGAAACTATTTTACTAGATACCACAAGATTTATTAAAATTTTAAATTTTACAATATATATTATGAGGTTTATTAAAAAAATTTTAAATATATTACATGTAATTTTTATAATAATTAAGGGCCAGATTTATTTAATATTTAAAAAATTGTTTTTTGCATTTTCTAATAAATTATCTACCATTTCTATATTATCTATTACTGCCTCAGCATCATCTGATTCATTCTAAGTAGTATTTTTAGTACCTCTTCAATAAATTCATTTTCACTTAAATTTTTTATCATACTTACTTTGAGTGCTTCGGTATTAGCTCTAATCTTATTCTTAAGATAATCTAAACAAATTAAATACTTAAAGTTGTATCTTTGTAAGCAACAGTTATAATAACCATGTTCACACATAAGGACAATACTATTTTTAGAAAAATTTGTATAATTAGTACAATCGCAGCATAAATAATTACACAATACACTCATATATGGTTTTTTAGAGGTAACAAAACCTCTTGAAAGGTAGCAATCAGTTATCTCATAGCCTAAAGAAGACAACTTATATGAATTAATACTATTATTAGATGAACAAACAATCAAAGGATACAGATAGCATGCTTTATATATTTTCGTAAATATTTCTAAAAAAACTGTAGCACATTTGTGAGATAATATATGTAATTGCTTCAGTTTATAAGGATACTTTATAGAATTCACAAAGTGTTAATGAAACAAGTTATCATCTCAATTTTGGAATATAACTAAAATGCATCTCTTTTTGTAATTGATCTGCTTTGAAAAATTTAGCTATATGTCATCGAATAATACTATGAACAGTTTCTACAGGACAATCACTTAAAGATGTGAGATTATTAGTAATTATATTTATTATTAGATAGTTAGTATCTGTCCAAAAAAATATATCTAAAAAAAATATTAAAAAAGCATGTTTATAATTTCTTCGATCAAATCAAAGAAATAAATCACTTCAACAATGTAAACAGGCTTTTTTATAAGCTGTCTAGTTATCTCTTTGATGGTGCACCATGTAAATGTTGAGAACTAAAGGAATTAAATTGCTCAAAAGATTAGTTAAATATAAAAATTCAAGATTCTTGCATATTTGACCAAACTTCAAATAAACTATATTAGATATGTTAAGCCATGCTATATGTATAAGTTGGAGAATTAAATCGATATGCCATGGCCATGGCTTCTTACCAAATTTTTTCTTTTTTTCAAATATACTCTTGTAAATATTATAAACAGGGAGAGTTTTTCTTATAAACAAGTTTTTGACTATTCAAAGACACATGAAAGGGTTTCATAATAAGAAAGAACAACATAACAAATGAAGGAATGATTTTATTGTTGAGAAGAAGCTAGTGTGCAATGGCCTTGTGAATAAAGAATTAACCAGGCCAATTTGCAACAATAGAGATTATGTGGTTGGAACGATATCTTTGCATCAATTCTTGATTATATACAATTTGAAAAGCTTTTGTATAATCTTCTACCCTCTTTATATTGGCTCTAACAAAATCAAAAAGAATGGCATCTTGTATATATTGGTCACTCTTTTTTTTACTAATTTGTCATTGTAGCTATGCAATATTAGTTTTTTAATAAGCTCATCATCAGAACACTCACCTCTATAATTTTGACAATGTTCATAATAAGGAATACCAAGGCTTATAATAAACCATTTATTGAGATGTTTTATTATAAGATTGCCATCAAGAAATTTTGAATTGAATACTCCATCAATTGGTGTGGTATATAGATTTGCTATGATTGTTGCCATGTGTATTGGACAGGATATACTAATAGAATCAGACTGTCATAGAACATGAATATTGTGAAATGATCTGATTAAGGATGCAGAAATATGATCGATGACGTAGATTTGTATCCACAGTCGTAACTTAAAACGTCAAAAAGCTACAACGGACGTTTGCTGTTATATTGCCCACCTATTCCAGTATTCTAAAGAACATCCCATATCTCAATTTGGTAAATAGATAATTAGGGATGTTAAACAGCTCGGTTTAGTCGGTTTTAAAATTGGTTGAAGTCGAGCTTTTTGAAGTCGACTCCACATCTATTTCAATAGCCATATGATATTTGAATAGATATAGCAAGAGCGGTCTTCAACTTACATTAAATGTGAAATTTTATGTGCATTGAATAAATCAATTATACTTCTCTCATCATAAATTTTTTACTTGAGTCTAATTCTGATACTACTCGACTTCTGGAGTTGAATCAGTTTGGACCGAACGTTTAACAACCCTATAGGTAATACTGTAATGGTAGACTAAAGGTTGGTGCAAATTGTTTACGTACGTACGTACTACGGCTGATACTGGAACATAAATCAACCAATCAGGTGCGGCAATTTAAGCATCAGCCTCCACAAAAATACTGATGGCGATGGGGTGGGAAAAAAAATCGACCGTTCCTAATATGGTTAATTAAGGAACTCTATTTCCGATTAAAAATATAATCTGTTTTTTTTTTATCATCTCTAAGCACTTATTTTAGTCGAAAAATCGAAATAAACTAACAAGTGAATTATCACATCGATGAAAAAAATTATAGTGTGCTATGCGTATTGATATAGGCAGTATTGTCACGTTACTATGTCCAAGCCTCCAAATGCTTGGACGTCCAAGATTGTCCA